CATGCTCACAATGAATTATAATATATCTGTTTTGTACACTCACCGGCCACTTTATTAGGTACTTATTGGAAATTAGTTCCACATACTTGCTAACGCAAATTTCTAATCGGCCAATCACATGGCAGCAACACAATGCATGTCGGCATGTAGACATGGTCAAGACGATCTGCTGCAGGTCAAAGCGAGCATCAGAATGTGGAAGAAAGGGGATTTAAGAGACTTTGATCGCGGCATGGTTGTTGCTGCCAGACGGGCTGCTCAGAGTATTTCAGAAACTGCTGATCTACTGGGATTTTCACGCACAACCATCTCTAGGGTTTACAGAGAATGCTCCGACAAAGTAGGCGCAAATGCCTTGTTGATGGGGCCAGAGGTCAGAGGAGAATGGCCAGACTGGTTCCAGCTGATAGAAAGGCAACAGTAACTCAAATAAGCACTCGTTACAACCGAGCTCTGCAGAAGAGCATCTCTGAACACACAACACGGCCAACCTTGAGGCGGATGGGCTACAGCAGCAGAAGAGCACACCGGGTGCCGCTCCTGTCAGCTAAGAACAGGAAACTGAGGCTACAATTCACACAGACTCACCAAAACTGGACAATAGAAGATTGGAGAAACGTTGCTGCTCTGATGAGTCTCCATTTCTGCTGACACATTCAGATGCTCTGCTCACAATTTGGCCTTAACAACATGAAAGCATGGATCATCCTGCCTTGTATCAGCGGTTCAGGCTGGTGGTGGTGGTGTAATGGTGTGGGGGAGATTTTCTTTGGGTCCATTAGTACCAATTGAGCATCAACGCCACAGCCTACCTGAGTATTGCTGCTGACCATGTCCATCCCTTTATGAGCACAGTGTCTCCATCTTCTGATGGCTACTTCCAGCAGGATGACGCAGCATGTCATGAAGCTCAATCTTCTCAGACTGGTTTCTTGACTTGGTTTTAATGGCCATAGACAGTCAGAACCTTGAGCATATAGCGTCCCCTTCACTGTACTGGGGCTTTAGTGCCCATCCAGACTGCAGGTTGAGCGTCCCCTGCTGGCCTCATTAACACCACTTCCAGCAGCAACCTAGCTTTCCCATGTGGTCTCCCATGCAGATACTGACCAGGCTCAGCCCTGCTTAGCCTCAGTGCGCGACCATGTGAGAGCTGTCTGCCAGGCGTTATGTCCATGATCAGTGTGTTGGATCAAACACATTTCTCAGTGTTGTCCTGGAACTACTGAACAACACCCATTCCTCACACACACTAATAGAACAGCAATGAACGCAGAGAATAACTGCATCACACACCTCTGGACAGATGACTGCTGATGAGTGTGTGTTTTTTCCAGCTCTGTGTCAGAAAATGAGCTGCTCGTCACTCTCTTAATTGTGTGATTGAAATGAGGAAAGCAATTAAACTGATAAATGGCCCTTCAGCTGATCTGCTGTCCGGCCAATCAGATGCTGATTGAGTTACTACAACTCTCTCTGTGAGTGTGTGTCTGCGTGCGTGCGTGCGTGTGTGTGAAAGTGTCTGATTTTGTGTGTGTGTTTTAGTCTAATGAAGTGTGTGTGTTTGTTTGAATGTGTGTGAGTGTGTGTGTGTGTATGACTAGGTGTGTGTGTATATAGTGTGTGTGTCTGTGAGTGACTAAATGAAAGTTTCTCTAAGTGTGTGTTGTACGTATGGTTGAGTTTGTGCACCTAAGGTAGTGTGTGTCTGTGAGTGACTGTGTGTGCGCACATATGTGTGTGTATCTTTGAGTGACTATATATATATATATGTGTGTGTGTGCGTGTAATTAAATGCCCACATTTATAAGAGAGTGTGTGTGTGTGTGTGTGTGTGTGTGTGTGTGTGTGTGTGTGTGTGTGTGTGTGTGTGTGTGTGTGTGTGTGTGTGTGTGTCTGTGAGTCTGTGAGTGACTAAATGAAAGTTTCTCTAAGTGTGTGTGGTGCGTTTATGATTAAGTGTGTGTGAGTCTGCATGTCTATGCATAATGGGGTGTGTGTGTGTGTGTGTGTGTGTGTGTATGTGTGTCTGTGAGTCACTATATGAACTTGTCTCTCAAAGTGTGTGTTGTACGTATGATTGAGTTTGTGCACCTAAGGTAGTGTGTGTCTGTGAGAGACTCTGTGTGCGCACATATGTGTATCTTTGAGTGACTTAGTGTGTGTCTGTGTGTGTGTGTGTGTGTGTGTGTGTGTGTGTGTGTGTGATTAAGTGCCCACATTTATAAGGGTGTGTGTCTGAGTGTGACTGTATCTGAGTGTGAGTGTGTGTGTGTGTCGCATGCGGGTGACTTTGGCAGTGTGAGGCTGTGGTTTTGCTGACATCAGCAGGGTGACATCATCACTGCCAGCAGATCTGCTGCTTTTAACATAATTACTGCTCTGAGTCTGGAGGAGGAGATGAAGAAGAAGAGGAGAACACACACACACACACACGGCAGATAAATGAGGAGAAAAGAGGAGATGAAGGGGGAGTGTGAGATGGACTGAGGGGAAACTGCAATGAGTGTTTGTGTGCGTGCGTGCGTGTGTGCGTGCGTGTGCGAGAGAGAGATGGAGTGTGTGTGTGAGAGAGCAAGCAAACGTGTGTGTGTGAGAATGTGTGTATGAGTGTTTGTGTATATGATTGGTGTGTGTGTGTGTGTGTTTGTGTGTTTGTTGTTGTATATGAATGTGTCTTTGTAAGTGTGTTTAAGTAAGTGTGTATGTGTGTGTGTCTATGTTTGAGTATACGAATGTGTGTGTTACTGTCGCCTTTCTATCAGCTGGAACCAGTCTGGCCATTCTCCTCTGACCTCTGGCCTCATCAACAAGGCATTTGCGCCCACAGAACTGACGCTCACTGGATATCTCCTCTTTGTCGGAGCATTCTCTGTAAACCCTAGAGATGGTTGTGCGTGAAAATCCCAGTAGATCAGCAGTTTCTGAAATACCCAGAGCAGCCCGTCTGGCAGCAACAACCATGCCACGATCAAAGTCGCTTAAATCCCCTTTCTTCCCCATTCTGATGGTCAGTTTGAACTGCAGCAGATCGTCTTGACCATCTACATGCCTGAATGCATTGAGCTGCTGTCATGTGATTGGCCAATTAGAAATCTCCATTAATAAGCAGTTGGACAGGTGTACCTAATAAAGTGGCCGGTGAGTGTACACATTGAGTCTTTAAATTGTTTGCTAAATGTCCATCCTTATGCAATACAGTAATGAGAGGAATTTGCGAGGGAAATGATGTTCATCTGACATTTTCAGGATGGTTAATGTCAGGCAAAATAATAAAATCCTAAAATATCCTTCATTCAGAAATAATTATAATAATAGTCGCTCATTTCTGTTGATCTTCAGCTGAAGTTTGGCCAGGACACACTTTCTCTGCTGTTGTTTGGATGCCTGGATTGATTTACTCTGACCTTCATAAGAGCTATTAAACACACACACACACACTCACACACTCTCACACACTCACTCACTGACCTGCGCAAAGATAAAATCCATTAAAGACAAAGTCGTAATTGCCGTCATAATGACTCTCTCTCTCTCACACACACACACACACACACACACACACATACACAAACACAGATGTGCTTATTGTTATTTACACACACACACTGATCTCTGACCCGTTGCAGCGTCTACAAACATCTTTAGCTGTTAATGAAGCTCAAACCTGAACAGCACTGAGAGATGCTTTCAGATGCGACATTAGTGTGTGTGTGTGTGTGTGTGTGTGTGTTTATGTGTTTGTTTGTATTTAGGTGTGCTTCTGAGTGTGTGTGTGTGTGTGTTTGTGTTTGTTTGTATTTAGGTGTGCTTCTGGGTGTCTGTTTTTATTTGTGTCTTTGTGTGTGTGTGTGTGTGTGTGAGCATGAGCATGAGCATGAGCGTGTTTGTGTATGTGAGCGTGTGTGTGAGCGAGCGAGAGAACACATGAGAACGTGTGTGTTTGTTTGAGTAAGAGTTTGCATTTTTGTGTCTATTATGTGTCTATTATTGTGTTTGTATTTGTGTGTATACAAGTCAGGGTTAGTATTTATAGTATGAGCGTTTTTGTGAGTGTGTGTGTGTGTGTGTTTGTGTACTTTTATTTGTTTCTGTAAGTGTTTGTTTGTTTGTGTGTAACATATTGTGCGTCTGTGCATTTCAGAGTATTATGTGTTTGTATTTGGTGTGTGTGTGTTTGTGTGCGCTTGCATGCTTGTCTGCATTTTTCTATGTGGTGTGTGCCTGTGCATTGCAGTGGGTGTGTGTGTGTTCGTGTTCGTGTGTGTGGGTGTGTGCGTGTGTGTGTGTGTGGGTGTGTGTGTGTGTGTGTGTTCGTGTGTGTGGGTGGGTGGGTGTGTGCGTGTGTGTGGGTGTGCGTGTGTGTGTGTGTGTTAGGACGTGTGTATGTTTAATTCACATGTAGTCAGTGCTCTTGTTCAGTTGTGTGCGTGCGTGTGTGTGTTGTTGTGTGTTCGGATGACAATGGGAGACGTCTGTAACACACACAGCGCTTCTATTCTCTCCATTTTCTCTTTGTGTTGTGAGTGGAGCATCAGCTCGGCTCTCTCTCACACACACACACACACACACACACACACACACACACACACACGTCAGAGTCACGTTTCAGCTGTTTTCTGCTGTAATGGACAAATTATAGATCAGTAATGCTTCAGTTCTGATAATTAGTGCATTTACCACATCTGTGAAGCTCAAGCAGAGGCTTTCTGACACACACACACACACACACGCGCGCACAAAGCCTGTGAATACTGATGTACATGTGATTTATCAGCTTTTTCCCTTAATAATAAATCTGCAACAATTTCTAAAACTCTGTTTTGCATTGTCATTATGGAGGATTGTGTGTAGAATGTTGAGGAAATCAATCAGTTTAATCCATAAGGTTGTAACATAAACAAATGTGGAGAAAGTGAAGCGCTATCAATACTCTCTGCATGCTCTGTACATCAGTATGCTTTAAAATTAACAGTGTGTGTGTGTGTGTATGTGTGCAGGCCGACGTTCAGGTATTTCACCTGGCACACGTGTGTTCTGGGCATCATTGGCTGTGCAGTGATGATGTTCCTGATTAACGCCATCTACGCCTCCGCCAGCATCGCCTTCATGCTGCTGCTGCTGCTGCTCATACACTACCTGAGTCCTGTCAGCAGCTGGGGATGTATCAGCCAGGCCCTCATATTCCACCAGGTACGCACACACACATATTCTACCAGTACACACACACCAGTTGATCAGTCTAGTTGACTATTAGGAAAAGTGGCAGAAGGTCGATGCATCATCTGTTGATCTGCATCAATCATCACCAATACTGCAGAAGACCTACTGGAACCAGCATGGACCAAGATTCTCAGAGAAATCAGTCAAGTTTGGTGAAGGAGACATCATGGTTTGGGGTTCATTCAGTATGGGGGCGTGCGAGAGATCTGCAGAGTGGATGATCAACATCAACAGCCTGAGGTATCAAGACATCTGTGCTGCCCATTACATTACAAACCACAGGAGAGGGACAATTCTCCAGCAGGATAGCGCTCCTGCTCATACTTCAGCTCCACATCAAAGCTCCTGAAAGCAGAGAAGGTCAAGCTGCTGCAGGATTGGCCAGCCCAGTCATCAGACATGAATATTATTGAGCATGTCTGGGGTAAGATGGAGGAGAAGGTGTTGAAGATGAACACAAAGAGTCTTGATGAGCTCTGGGATCCTGCTGAAGGCTTTCTTCTTCATTCCAGATGACTTTATTAATCAGTGATGTGAGTCATGTCAGAGATGTATGAATGCAGTCCTCCAAGCTCATGATGGAGTCAGACACAATATTCATTCTGTCTCCACTGCAGCAGGACTTTATATTCTATACTGGACATTATTTCTGTTCAGTGATGAGACTTTAGTCTGAGCAGAGTCAGACCTTATGCCTAGTTCAGACTGCGTGATTTTAGCCCCGATTTTGGCTCGCCGACAGGTTTTGAGAAATCGCCGACAAATGCCTGAAATCACAGGCAAATCGCTGCTCATGCACGTGAGTGACAATCACACAGTATGAACGATCAAAGACGCGATCTGAGAGAATCGCCGATGAGTCGCCGATGCCTGTGGGATATTTGGCGTGCTGAATATCTGGAGCTGTCGGCGATTCAAATCATGCCGTGTGAATTGAGTCTTGACTGAAAATAACATCAGCGATCGCCTACAGCCAATGAGAGAGCAGCTTTCACTTGTGTGTGCGTGTGTGTGTATACCTGCTGCAGGCCAGCGGGAGGCTGGGGGAGAAGTTAAAGCTCTCTTTTTTGGTTTATTTGGACCCACGAAATGGAGGAAAAACTAGTGGAGGTTTGACAGGACTCAGGAGCAACCATGTCTGTTTGACGTTTCATACAGAAAGAAATTAGTTTATTATCAACGTTGAGGAGAAATGGCTAATTCCCTTTAAACCCAGGTGAGCAAACATGTACATGTTCTACCCCATTAAAGGCGTCTTTCTCATTATGTAGTTAATAACAAAAGATATACGACGTGTTTTTGGCTGTGAGACGTAGTTTGGACGAAGTTGTCGGCGATTCTCCCTATAGTAAAGTCATGCAATGTGAATGTCCATGTCGCCGAACCATCTTGCAGTGTAAACAAAGCAGCGACGAAACGCCAGCCCAGATAGTCATGCAGAGTGAAAACATCTGTGACACGACTACTGTGAAAATCATGCAGTCTGAAATCGGCATTACTGTCCTCATCAAATCAGTCAACATCAAGACATGATCAGATTTCATTTGATTTTGTGTGTGTGTGTGTGTGTGTGTGTGTGTGTGTTTGTTCAGGTGCGTAAATACCTGCTGATGCTGGATGTGCGTAAGGATCATGTGAAGTTCTGGAGGCCTCAGGTGCTGCTGATGGTGTCGAACCCCAGGTCCAGCGTGGGATTGATCACTTTCATCAACCACATCAAGAAGAGTGGCCTGTATGTGCTGGGACACGTGCAGCTCGGAGACCTGGGTAAAAAAAAACACACAATCACAACCCGTATGGGGAAAGTCTCAGCCTGATAACGTTTACGCTATGGCTCTTACAGTACACAATATTGAAATGTTTCAGATTCGCAGGAGTGTAGACAGCACCCTCTAAAGGATTTGTCTCAGAAATGTACAATATGTACCTCAAGTAATGTAAACATGCAACAAAACGTACCGTAAGTAATGTAATTTAGATTTGGAAGTGTGTAGATATCACCCTCTAGTGGATTTTTTTCCAAAACACACCCTAATTAATGTTTTATTTAAAGTTTCAGACTGATTGAGTTTAGGCTACGGGTGTAACGTTCGCAGTATTGACAGTTTGGTATGTAGGTAACGTATTTCAGATTCGCAGAAGTGTAGAGAGCATCCTACCGTGGATTTGTCCCCTATACGTAACGTAATTCAGATCCGTAACCTGGTAGACGTCACCCTCTAGTGAATTTTTATCCAAAACATGAAACAAAATGTACCCTAATTACTGTATTTCAGATTCGCGGATTGCCATTGTCATTTTATATATTACAACAAATAAAAAATGAACATACAATCACGTCTCATACTTGAGGAAGCTGGAGGAAAGTCTCAGTCTGAAAGCATTTAAGCTATGGGACTAACAGTACACAATATTGACAATTTGGTATTTTGCAGAAGTGTAGACAGCGCCCTCTAGTGGATTTGTCTCAAGTAATAGAATTCAGATTTTCAAACATGTAGACAGCGCCCTCTAATTGATTTGTCTCAAGAACATGCAATAAAACATACCATAAGTAACGCATTTCTTATCCGCAAAAAGTAGACAGCACCCTCTAGTGGATTTGTCTCAGAAATGTAGCATACATTCATTAAGTAATGCAATTCAGATTTTCTAATATGTGGACAGCGCCCTCTAGTGGATTTGTCTCTGAAACGTACAGCAACATGTATCTTAAGTAGCACATTTCAGAAGTGTAAAAGTGTAGACCAGGGGTGTCCAAACTACGGCATATAATATGTTGCATATTACATTGCCATTTTGCATAATACATTTCCTATTTGCATAATCTATTGCTATGTTTTGCATAATCCATTGCTGTTTTGCATATTCCATTTCCTATTTACATAATCCATTTCTATGTTTTGCATATTCCATTGCCGTTTTCCATATTTACACATTAGTTTAACATACTACATTGCCATTTTGCATATTACATTGTCGTTTTGCATACTCAATTACTGTTTTGCATATCACATTTCTTTTTACATAATTCATTACCATTTTGCATATTACATTGCTGCTTTGCATATTCCATTGGCATTTTACATATTCAATTTCCATTTACATATTACATTGATGTTTTGCATATTATATTTCTTTTTACATAATCCATTTCCTTTTTGCATATTACATAGTCGTTTTGCATATTTTTTTGCCGTTTTACATATCACATTTCTTTTCACATAATCCATTACAATTTTGCATATTATATTACTGCTTTGCATATTCCATTGCCATTTAACATATTAAATTTACATATTACGTTGATGTTTTGCATATTACATTACCATTTTGCATATCACATTGCTGTTTACAACTTACATTGTCATTTTGCTTAACCCATTAACATTTTGATAATTCATATTATTCATATAATTCAATTGCATATTCCATTTACATATTCAATTGCTGTTTTACATATTCCATTGCCGTTTACATATTACATTGGTGTTTTGCATATTGCATTTCTTTTTTACATATTAGATTGCCATTTTGCCTTTTCCATTGCTGTTTACATATTACATTGATATTTTGCATATTCCACCACAGTTTTGCATATTGCATTTCCTTTTTACATTATCCATTGCCATGGTTTGCCTATTGCATTGTCATTTTTGCATATTCTATTGCCATTTTGCATATTTCGTTGCTGTTTCCATGTTGAACTGAATTTTGCTACTTGTATGCTTCCATACTTTTTTGACCTCGTATGCATTTAAGCCTGTTGCTGTAAAATCTTCGGACCTTCTGAAATAGCACACATGTCCTGCTCTTTAAGCACACGGACACTGAATAATTTGAGCTGTGCATCGTGTGAATGATGATTGCTGTAATTGGCAGCCGGCGAGTCCCATGCGGCGCATGAATATTAATCTGCGAGTGACCCGACTGTTTCTGTCTGTGCGTTTCTCCGCAGACGTTCTGCCGTCTGATCCTCTGCAGGCTCAGTATGACTCCTGGTTGTCTCTGGTGGATCATCTGAATATTAAAGCGTTTGTTAATCTCACGCTGGCCGACTCTATCAGACATGGAGTTCAACACCTGCTGTTCATATCAGGCCTCGGTGAGCGAAAAAACACACTTACAGCAGGAGATCTGAGTTCAGCACAACACTAGCAGTCCTTCTGCATCACAAACACTGCATATCAGCTTGTTTTGCTGGAATAGCAGCTAAAATATGCATTATATTTTAATAAGCATGTGCTAATGCATTTTTGATAATTAAGTCAGTCAATCACAAGCAGTATGCAAAAGGGTTATTATTTATGTTTTTATTTTAAATGCATAATCTTGCCTAATTTTACTGTTATTATGTGTATACTTACTACTTTAGAAATAGAGCTTTTTGTTTTAAATACATTCATTAAATTAAAAAGGTTAATTATATATTCATTTCCTTATTTTATTTATTTATATGTATGCAGTTTATTTATAAGTTATTGTTATGTTAAACTTTTAAATATTTGTGTAATTTATTTATTTATTTATTGTCACACTTTGCTTGTTTTAGGGAGGAACTCATTTAATTTTATGCAAAACCTTTACTTGTGCAAAAAATACTTCTTATTTCATATTTTATGCACAGTTTATGTTTACATATTTCATATTTTACCTATATAAATGTTTCATTTTCCTACTAATTTATTTAATTTTACCTGTACATATTTTTATTTACCTGTAATTATCATTATATTTCTATGTTCACTTTTATGTGCTGTTTATAATAATTTATGTAATTATTTATGCAAATTCTTATGCATTTTCTCATCCTTTATTCAACTCAATTAAAGGTAAGTTTATTTGAATAGCACCTTTCACAATAATTATCGTTTCAAAGCTGCTTTATCAAAGGGACAATTTATTACATTACAATCAAACTCAGAAAAGTGAAGCTTATTTGTTACTATAACTTTAGTAATTACTAATAACTAGGGCCAGACAGAATCTGTGGACATTTTTTGCTAATTCTGCTGAGAGTCTGCAGATTTATGTGGAATTAAATATTAAAAAATTTAAAAGGTATTTTTTTATTTCATATATTAAGTTTTTTAAATGTCTATAATGCAAATCCAATTAGATAAACTTCATTAATAAACAAAGCAAGTCTCTTATATAATATATCTACTAAAAGGCAGAAAATATGGAAAATGGCCACTTTATTAGGTACACCTTAATAGTACTGGGTTGTACCCCTCAATCCTTCATGGCAGAGATTCAACAAGCTGCTGGAAATATTCCTCAGAGATTTTTCTCCATGTTGTCATGATAGCATCACACAGTTGCTGCAGATTTGTCGGCTGCACATCCATGATGCCAATCTCCCGTTCCACCACATCCCAAAGCTGCTCTATTGGATTGAGCTCTGGTGACTGTGGAGGCCATTTGAGTACAGTGAACTCATCGTCATGTTCAAGAAACCAGTCTGAGATGATTGAGCTTTATGACATGTTGCGTTATCCTGCTGGAAGTGGCCATCAGAAGATGGAGACACTGTGCTCATAAAGGGATGGACATGGTCAGCAGCAATACTCAGGTAGGCTGTGGCGTTGATGCTCAATTGGTACTAATGGACCCAAAGAAAATCTCCCCCACACCATTACACCACCACCACCAGCCTGAACCGCTGATACAAGGCAGGATGATCCATGCTTTCATGCTGTTGAGGCCAAATTGTGAGCCGAGCATCCGAATGTGTCAGCAGAAATGGAGACTCATCAGAGCAGCAACGTTTCTCCAATCTTCTATTTTCCAGTTTTGGTGAGTCTGTGTGAATTGTAGCCTCAGTTTCCTGTTCTTAGCTGACAGGAGCGGCACCCGGTGTGCTCTTCTGCTGCTGTAGCCCATCCGCCTCAAGGTTGGACGTGTTGTGTGTTCAGAGATGCTCTTCTGCAGAGCTCGGTTGTAACAAGTGCTTATTTGAGTTACTGTTGCCTTTCTATCAGCTGGAACCAGTCTGGCCATTCTCCTCTGACCTCTGGCCTCATCAACAAGGCATTTGCGCCCACAGAACTGCCGCTCACTGGATATTTCCTCTCTGTCGGAGCATTCTCTGTAAACCCTAGAGATGATTGTGCGTGAAAATCCCAGTAGATCAGCAGTTTCTGAAATACTCAGAGCAGCCCGTCTGGCAGCAACAACCATGCCACGTTGACCAAGTCACTTGACCATGTCTGCAAAAGTCAGTCTTGACCATGTTTACATGCCTAAATGCATTGAGCTGCTGCCATGTGATTGGCTGATTAAAAATTTGCATTAACGAGCAGTTGGACAGGTGTACCTAATAAAGTGGCCAGTGGGTGTATATTGTAAAAATCAAGTATATTTTTATACTTGTCAATTAAAAACTAAATAAATATAAATGTACACACATTTACACAAGCAAATAAATAGACTCAACGATGGGCTAAAAATTTCATGTGGGTCTACTAATTACTAATTACCTGGTAACTTATAGCTTGTAATTTTTGTGTCTGTGTGTGTTGTCGTCTGCAGGTGGAATGAGACCCAATACTCTTGTTCTGGGTTTCTATGATGACGCCTCGCCTCAGGACCAGCTCCAGGACTCCAGTCTGTCCATGAGCAAATTTTTGGACAATTCCTCTCAAAACGAAGACCCAGAAGACCAAGACGAGCCGCCATTTCATTTCCCGCCAGTGCGAGGGGGCGTGGCTGTAGGCAGGGGTGCGGTTTGGGGCGGGAAATCTCTCGGCCCTCAGGAATACGTTTGCATAATCGCAGACGCAGTTAAAATGCTGAAAAATGTAGCATTGGCGCGGTATTTTGGTCAGTTCGATCATACACACGCTCTGCAGGGTCCGATATTTGTAGACGTTTGGCCGGTAAACCTCCTGCGTCCTGATAGCGCTGCGTATGTCGACACATGCTCACTCTTTTTACTTCAACTCGCCTGCATTCTCAACATGACGAGGGCGTGGCAGAAAGCGAGACTCCGCCTCTTTTTATGCGTGGAGGAGGGGCGGAGCCTAAAGGGGACTGAGCAGAAACTCGGACACCTGTTGAAGGATCTCCGGATGAAGGCGGACATATGTACGGTTCCCTGGGATTCAGAAGTGGCGCTTCATTGGCAACGGCAAACAAGATTGGATAGAAATGAAAAAGAGGAGGAGCTGGAAAGCGAAGAAGGCGGGGTCGAGGCTGATAAATTCTTCTCAAACAGTTTTCCGAGTAACACCTCGCGAGTGTCGGATGAGTATTTACAGGCTGTCAATAAGCTGATCCTGGAGCAGAAGCTCCGCCCACCAGCTGTCCGCTTTCTATATTTGCCCCGCCCCCCTGCGGATACGAGCCGATACAGCGATTATCTGAATCAGCTGGAGCTGCTGACCCGGGACCTGGGCCCAACGCTCTTGATCCACGGGGTCACGCCAGTCATCACCACTGACCTCTAATGCTCCTGTTCACGATTATTCCTAAACAAAAGTTCCGGAAAAACATACATTTTCCTACATTTTCATTTTTTATTGTTTCTAGCACTTCACATGTTTACTTCGGATGACGGTATAGATCATGGATTACCATTCCTTCCCTTTCCATTCCTGGACATTCTTTTTGAGCTTTTCCTTTCTGAATGTAACGAGTGAATATTCCCAAATATTGCCACCTGAACTCAGAACTGTCAACATTCCTTTGATGTTCCATTTTATCGGAATTCCAACATGTTTTAGAATGCTGCGTCTCTGAAAGCACAACCGGAATTATCCTTGATTAAGGAAAAACATTTTGTAATGCAAAGTTATTTTATTTATTTTTTTTAGAATCGTTTTAGTAACATTTTCACAAAAACAAAAAGTGATTTTGAAAATTCCGGAAAATTCTGGTGCTTTTCCTATATACCGAAAAACCGGAACGTCTTAGGATGTTTTGAATTACTCGGAAAGCATTTTTCATTTTTACATCCTTTGCTTTTCCTGACTGTTTTCCTTAAGAGAAATGTAACAATTGCAATTCCAGAATGTTTCAGAAAATTCCCACTTTGTGCTCAGAACAGTCAACATTCCTTTGATGTTCCATTTTACTAGAATTCCAAAATGTTCCAGAAAGTCTTGGAATTCCAGTGCTGTTCCGGAATTATCCTTGAATAAGTAAAAACATTCTGGAACTTTTTTTTAGGATTGTGTTAGTCACATTTTCACAAAAACAAAACAAAATGACATTCTGAAAAAAGCTGGACATTGCTGGTGCTTTTCCCAAATATTTATCCAATATTTATGGCAGCAGAAACTACAATTTTTTTATGATGCTTTCAGTCATTCAGAAAGCATTTTTACATTCGGTGCTTTTCCTGAATGTTTTCCTGAAGACAGATGTAACAAGTGCAATTCCAGAATATTCCCAAACATTCCCACTCTGAGCTCAGGAACTGCCAACATTCCTTTGTGGTTTCATTTTTTTGAAATTCCAAAATATTCCAGAATTTTGAAAAGTTCTGAAAGCACAACTCTTGAAATTCCAGTGCTATTTCGGAATGTTTTTCTTTTCTTTTTTAAAGGATAAGGATGTATTTTAACACCAAAACAACAGGTGGGAATTCTAAAATATTCCAGATTGTTGCATCTCTGAAACCTCAACCTTTGAAATTCCACTGCTATTCCAGAATGTTTTCCGGTATTTAAAGATAAGGATGCATTTCCACACTATAACAAGTAGTGGATTTTATCCATCTCTGAGCTCATGATGCCAGCAGGCATTGTATTATTTTTAGGATTGTTTAAGTTACATTTTCATAAAAAGAAAACAAAGTGGCTTTCTAGGAAAAAGGCTGGACATTCTGGTGCTTTTCCTAAAAATTTATCCTAAAAATATCCATGGCAGCAAAAACTGGAACGTGTTAGGATGTTTTAAGCCACTCAGAAAACATTTTTACACCCTCTGCTTTTCCTTAATGTTTTTTTCCTTAAGAGAGATGTAACAAGTGCAATTCCGGAATGTTCAGGAATATTCCCACTTTGAGCTCAGCACTGTCAACATTTCTTTGTTCCATTTTTTTTCGGAATTCCAAAATGTTCCAGAATGTTGTGCCTCTGAAAGCACAACTCTTGGAATTCCAGTGCTATTCCAGAATTATCCTTGAATAAGGAAAAACCCTTTGGAACACATCCCAGAATGTTGACCCAGAGCATATCCAGTGCTATTCCTCAATATTTTAGATGATAATGACAAAGACTGGAATGTATTCCTGGTTTTAGCCACTCTGGAAGCATTTAATGTGTTTTATAATTGTAATAAGTGGAATTCCTGGAATAATCATTCTGACAATTTTCCTTTTTTTCTATTGACTATTGGAATTCCAGAATATTTCGCAATGTTGCCTCTCTGAGCAACTCTTGAGCATCCAGGGCCTTTGCAGAGTAATTTTTTTCCATCAAAAACTGGAATGTTTTAGGGCTTTTTTTATTCACTCTTAAGTTTTTTCTTAAATTGAAATTTCTGGAATTCTGGAATGTTTCCACACTAAATTCATCAATTGTGGTGTTCCAGTTCTTTTCCGGTGAAGTCCTGGAAATCTGGAAAGACTGGAATATATTGCCTGTTTTAGCCTCTTCAGAAGTATTTTACTTTATTATTATTATTATTATTATTGTAATAAGTGGAATTCCTGGATGTTGCCACTAAGCTCAAAACTTTAATCATTTTGACATTTTTCCTCTTTTTTTTTCCATTTGACAAGTGTAGTTTGGAAATATTCTGTAGTGTTGTCTCTGTGAGCGCTGAACTCTTGACCGTCCAGTGCCTTTGACTAGTTTTTTGTTCATCAAAAGCCAGAATATTTCAGGGATTTGTTTCAATTCTCTCTGTAGATTTTTGTGAAATTGAAATTTCTGGAATTGTTGAATGTTTCCACACTAAACCCATCAATTCTTTGCCGGTGAATTCCTGAAAGTCCAGAATGTTGACCCAGAGCTCATTCCTCAATATTTTAGCTAATAGCATCAAAGACTGGAATATATTCCCTGTTTCAGCCTCTATGAAAGCATTTCACTTTCTTCTTCTCATTATTATTATTATTATTGCAATAGGTGGAATTTCTAGATGTTGCCACTAAGTTCACAACTTAAATCATTCTGATGATTTTCTATATATTTTTTTTCCATTTGACAAGTGTAGTTTGGAAATATTCTGTAATGTTGCCTCTGTGAGCGCTGAACTTTTGACCGTCCAGTGCCTTTAAGTATTTTTTTCCATCAAAAACAATGTTTCCACACTAAATTCCTAAATTCTTTGCCGGTGAATTCCTGTAAGTCCAGAATGTTGACTCATTCAGTCTTATTTCTCAATATTTTAGCTAATAATGTTTTCTCTCTTTTAGCCACTACAGAAGTATTTCACTTTATTATTGTAAGTCCAACTTGTTGCTGCGAGGCTCAAAACTTTAATCATTCTGACGATTTTCTTAAATTTTCTCCTTTGAAGTGGATTTCCGAATTTTTCTGTAATGTTGAGCCTCTGTGAGCTCTTTCCGCTGCTTTTCCTGAGTATTTTTTTTCGCACAAAAACCGCAATACTTTAGTATGTTTTTAGCCACTCCAGAAGCATTTAGCATTCTTTTGCGAGTGTGTTTGTTTACATGATGCAATAATAATGTTTTTACAGCCAAGACTGGAGGCCTTCAGTGATGCCACTGTGATTTTACAGTAAGCTGTTTTAATGAAACCAAAGTGCTTTATGTTTGTGTTTGTGTGTGTGTGTGTGTGTGTGTGTGTGTGTGTGTGTGTGTGTGTGTGTGCGCGCGAGTGTGTTTGTGTGCACATACTTTCTGATGTTTTGACTCTCTTCCTGTACTGGTGAACAGTGATTAAACCAACCAAAAGTATGATCACTGCCAAGCCCAGACCAACAGCAGCATATGGTGAAGTGTGTACAGATGCTGAGGAAGTGAGAGAGAGAATTGATTATTGGTTTTGGTCACATGTGGAAATTCCCACTAAAAATTCAG